GATTTGGAACTAATGTATTGTAGCACCATTCTTTTAGGCATCTTACTGTACCATTAAGGGAATTGTTTGGGTTTCTAATATTAAAAAAAATTTCGTAAAATATAAATTTTACACTACACGAATCTACAAAGTATTGAATGAGGAGTTGTCACACTACAAAAGCAACACACAGCTGACTTTGTTAGGCAAATTGCATTTAACATCACAGTGGAATTAGCAGAGAAATTCAGTGAAATGCGTAACATTTCAGTGAGTGCCGTTGATACAAATGCCTATGTTCACTAAATAACAAAATAAATCAATAAATAAACTGAGCATGTTGAACCACAAAATGTAAACCAATTAAAAAATATATAGATGAATGAAGAATAGGCTATATAACAAACATTTACCCTAATATTTAGACCAACATGTAAAATCCAGTTCCGAATGTATTGTTTATCTAACTTCTTTGTAAACCAGGGGTGGGCATAAAAATGTGTCGGAGAGCCAAAGTGAATTTTTGATTTAACAAAGAGGGCTGCACCCATACATTGATGTTTTCTAGTGCACTTTCAAAACCTTCATGCTTTTATACGGATTTATGTACAGTCTTATTACCAATATTACTTTTAACAGATAATCGGGGTAGGGTCGTAAAAAACAAGGGGTTATCGAGCCAAAGATTTTTGGCAGGCCGCATGTAGGGTTTTTAGGGTTTTTTTGCAAGCCGCAACAGAATCGCCGTCTGGTTGCATGTGGCCTGTTGGCCGCATTTTGACCACCAGGTGTAAACATAATATAACCAAACTTCTCAATTATTGGCTCACATATAATATTCTTTCAATGAAAATGTAATTTGTCTTTTATTTACAAGGAAGACATATGGGTTTTCTGAAATTATAGTTTAATGCCTTAGTTCATAACCTTGTACTGTATGGCACATTGGGCTTCACAAACATAGACTAAAGCCTGTTTACACTATGACTATAACGATCAACGATAACAAGCTAAAAAGCAATTGTTCGTTTAGAAAATAATAAAAATAAACAGGCCTAAATTACCAAAATTAGGGTGACGCCCCTGCAAAATGGTCAATGAACGTGACCTTTTTGTGAGCGTTGCTAACTTCAATAGGAAGGACTTCAGCAGTTTGTAACAGGAAGGATATACTGTAGTTAAATGGTCTCTCTAATTGCAATATTGTAAACAAAGAAAATGGCTGAAAGGTTTCTGAACAGAAAGTTCATAAAAATGAGAGCAGGCAATTTGTAAACAACATCATGAAGAGAAACAAAAAATTGTAATTTTTCACGTTCATCAAGATTTAACAAAAAACAAAAAAAATTGAACATTTAAGTATTCAATGCTTAACATAACATTTAAAAAAATATTCCTAATCTGGATACATTCATGGATTATTTACGGTTTTTGAGAAGCAGTCCGCTTCAAATATGTTTTCCTCCTAAATTTAAAAAAAAGAATGAGGGCACTTTTTTGGATTCTCTTTTTTTTTTACTCCGAGATGGCAAATCCAAGATGGTCGATGGGAAACAGTTACTATTTTCTCACTTTTACCAAGTAGACACATTGAAAACAAATTAAAGAAACACTAGACATGATTCATATCATATTTTATCCCCAACCATGAATGATCAAGAGAGGAATTTATCATGTTTATCATAAGTAGCCAGATTTTCATACACTTCGTCAATGGGTAGATGGTCAATGGTCATATATTTATATAGCGCCTTCTACAGAAAACCGTCTCAAGGCACTTATGAAACCACAAGAAACAAAGACAAAAGAACACAAAGGGGGGAGTGCGCACCCCCAATTTTGAGATAGCGTCGCCATCACTACCGTGTACACGCAGGTACCTCGGCGACAGTTTGCTGGGCTCCGGTAGCTTCTACCAAGGATAAGCCTATGGCTCCCCTACCGTGGACTGCTAAGTTGGCGGCGCTACCTCAAGTGAGGGGCATATGGGTGGCAAAAGGCCGGGTGGCTACAGGCCGGGTGACAACAGGCCTAGGGTGGCAAAAGGCCGGGTGACAACAGGCCTAGGGTGGCAAAAAGCCGGGTGGCAAAAGGCCGGGTGGCAAAAAGCCGGGTGGTAACGGGCCGGAACCCAGCTTGTACATCTCTAAGGCATGCTTCAATTGTATTTTTTGCCTCAAACCAATGATTAACTTGAAAGCTAATATACAGTTGAGTATCATCGGCGTATGCATGATACTGAACACTGTGACTATTTACTCAGTGAGGAAACATAAAATAAAAATAATATTGGTCCCAATATAGACCCCTGGGGGACACCACAGATTATGTCGGTACAAGCCGAAGAACTACATCCAATGCGAACCTGATGTTTTCTAGAGGTGAGATATGATTTATACCATGATAGGGCTGTTCCGCAAATGCCAAAAGATGATAGTCTTAAGAATGGAATGATCGATGGTGTCAAAAGCGGCACTGAGATCAAGGAAGATAGCAAGTATTCGTAAAATAAAGGTAAAAAAAAAAAATTAATGAGGCAGAGAAAATGGATGTGTGAGGGATGAGAAACTATTAATATTTTTTACTTGGCCTTGTGTGTATGACATGCAACAACTAGAGGCCTCAAGATAACAAACCTGTAATCAGCAATAACAATGAATGTCTCTGCATTGTATGCTACTATCTTTTCTTGTGTGAGACATCCCCTTTAAGATAAAAAAAAAATCAATGAATGAATGAATCAATCAATCAATCGATCAATCAAATGGTTGAATGCTATACTATGTGTCAGTCACTTCCTGTGATAAGTTAAGTTTGGTTTCCATACAATCGCTACACGCTATCACTGATAGCTTTCGGTGATGCTGGTTGGTCAGTTGAATTGTGGAGTCTTCCCAATTGCGTCAGGGACTTCTGCACAGGATAATGATTGCACTGAAAACACTGTAGCGACAGTGTAGCAATTGTATGGAAACCAAGCTTAATGAATAAATGAATCAATTGATTACTAAAATCAACAAATTAGCCAAAATGAATAGATAACACCAGAATGACTTTTCAGATAGTGCAGATAATGTCAACAAGCTACCACAAACATGACCATTAAGCTTTCATTGGTGGTCAATGTGCTGATTAATAGAGATATTATCAGGGGCAGATCCAGAGATGTTCGAAAGGGAGGGGGGAAACGAAAGTAGGGCCAATTAAGATATGGCCACCCAAGGGGGTCCGGGAGCATGCCCCCACGAAATTGTTGTTTCCTAGACGCCCAAAAATAACCTCTGAGGCATTTTGGGCGATCCTTATTTCTTTTTTTTTACACATCTAGATGTGTATAAGAGACAGGGGCTATCCCTAAATCCGCCCCTGTCCACTACTGTATTTTCAAGGTAATTTCTAAAAAGTAAAAAGGAAACTTTCGCATATTGCTTCATCCAGGTTAGTATCCACAAAAAAGACAACTAAATCTGTAAATGTGGCAAAGACAAGCCAAACCAGTCACTCGTCGCAAAAATCGATTTTTGAGTTATTAATACAGAGTTAAAGTGTAAAATAGGAGCTATAAAATGGCAAAAAAAAATCATTCAAATCTGACATTTCCTTATGAAGTTACTAGCATTTAAGCATACAACTGTTTAAAGAACAATATATGAGAAATCAGCCTACAAAGTTTATGATTTCAGGCATTTCTCATGCAGAAACTATTACAAAATCATTAAAAAGTGTTGTTTTAACATTGTAATTGGGAAAAATAACAGCACAACATGATGTATAGATACATAAACCTTAGTTTAGTGAAATAAAATAGATTTTTAAAAATTTTACATTATAGCATGTTTTTGCTATTTTCAGAAGAAAGAAAAACAGGAAACGGAGTAGACTTTAGAACACTATTTTATTAAAACATGAATATTTCGACCTGACCTCAGGTCCTCTTCTTCAGGTCTACTCCGTTTCCTGTTTTTCTTTCTTCTTTATTATCCATATGAACACAAGTGGACTCCTCTTTATGTTTTCTATATATATATATATATATATATATATATATTGCAAATTCATAATATTTGCATTTTTTCACTGCTTTATTATCAATTGACTCATGGAAGTCACTGCCGTTGGGTATCACTATGTGCAATAAAATAATATTAAATACGTAAATAAAGCTCGTTAACCAAATCAGTGACGGGGCGGGGAGGGGTGAAGATAGCTGGCCCGAACCCCCTAAATCATTTTAAATTAAAAAAAAAAAAAACATTATATTCAAATTTCATTTTGGGAGAGTTCCATATCTGGTCATTTATCAATAATCATATATTTTCTTTCCTCAGCCCCAACCATGGTTAGGATCGAGGTGATTTGGACCCTCCATCTGTGAAAGTCCCTCCCTGGACCGGCCCCCCTCTATTTCAAATTTCTGGATCCGCCTCTGCAGATCTCCCAGAATTGACTTCTTCCAACTTGTACCAGTATTGATTTTAAATCAGTTATTGTTATCAGTAACAGTATAGACAGTACAGTAGGCCTACAGTAAATCTTCAGAAAACTGCAAATTCTTACACATGGAGTCTTTTCTAAATCACTTAAGTTCAAATTGTTATTTATGATGAGTTGCCGGGCTTGGAATGATGTTGGTACACACTGCAAGCATAAATTTTCTTTCTTCACTCGTTCAGCTGATGGGCAAAAATATAAAAAAATAATATAAAAAAAAATACTTAATAAATAAATTTTAGAAAAAACTGTCTCTATTGAACATACAGTATTATATAAATATTTGATTTACCGGTATTCAGATAATTCATAATACATTCATATTTGTTGACTTTTATTCATGTTTTCATTCCTTAATTAACTTTCACTCATTCACTTATTTATTTATAAGGGGTAAGAGGATCATACACAATTCAGCCAAATGCTCAAAATATTTACTGCATCATCTAGTGGGTGTACCACCTGGGCCTGGACACCTGAACAATTTCCAAATGCAAAAAATAACTTGAATTAATTTCAAAGGCTAAGACCAAACTATAAAATTTTCTTTGACAAAATACTGTTGTATGCCCATAAATAGCCATGATGTGCCTATATATGGTCATGATGTTCTGTCATCATTATTTTTTACACATGTCACATGTTTTTGTCAAACAAAATTTCATTGTCTGGACAGGGTTTTAAGCTAAAGAAAGCTCATTGATGGAATCAAAGGGGGGGGGGGGCCTTTAATAATGGAGAAAAAATGGAAAATTACAATCAGATTTAGGTCTGAGAGTGCCATCTAGAGGTGTCAGCACCAACCATGGTGGGGCTGAGGTGGTCTAGAGTCCCCATATGTGAAAATTTGTGAGTTGTGTTGTGACTGTCTCTGGCAAAACCCAGCATTTGTTGAAAACAATTTGAATTTTTTTTTTTTGGATTTTAAAATTCTGTTTCTTTAAAACAGTGTTTATTTGATGGACATTAATGGTTTCATGTTAGTTATGAATATTAAATTCATTCGATATCAGAAATGTAGGTTTTGAAAAGACAGCTTCCAATATTCAATAGAATTATAATACTAGGATTTGTACTTCAAAAATAATTTTGATATATTTTTTAGTTACATTTTGCAATTGATATTTAGCAGAAATGTTTTTCAATATACCTTCTTTTATAAACTTTAAAAATCTTAAATATTATTCAAAATTTCTCACATTTTGGATGCTAGCCTGAAATCAGAAATTGCGACAAATTTAGGGTTTTGCCAGAGCCTGAGTCAAATATCAAAATATTGTTCACCTCAGCCAAACCATGGTGGGATTGATGTGTGTCTAATTCCTGTGTGGGAAATGCATAACTTCTTTTTTTATATATACAGGTATGTATTTCTGATCTTACCAAGACATTCAACGGCATAAACAATTGTTGATCCACTTCCAATTCCAACAACCTGCTTGTTCTGCAGCAGATATAAAAACAAAAAATTTAGACTTTTTACACTCTCAAAGACACTTGAAAGAAGGAATACTGTAAAGTACAACTGTCATCTTTATTCACATAGCTTGATCAAATAAGCACTTATTACACTGTCACTAGGTATTCTATTTTTGCACGAAACAGTATGTGATTTACTGTGAAATGTTAATTGTCACTAGTCACTGGTAGCCAAATATTCTATTAAAGAATGGCTAATAATAATAATAATAATAATAATAATAATAAAACTGCAAACAGAGCAAGTTATTTAATATATTTTTTAATGATTATTTTGTATTATTATTCAGGAAGCAATCCAGCAATAGGGCCTATACGTCTTTAACCTTATTAGTCCAGCTATTTTAATTCATGTCAGAAGAATAAACCATTTATTTAGTACTAAAACAGATAGACGATGTAATGCAATGGAAGAGCAACCACAGTATTATTCAGCTTGGGCTACTACTATCCAGGGAGTTGTTATAGTGACATAACAACTCCCTGTACTATCTAAATAGGCTAGGCCAGACCTCTCACTGACTGAGTCTTAGTCTCAGCTAGAGAGTACTAGGCCTAGCTACTGTAGGCCCTACCCTACTACTACCCAATGCCCTACCTTAACATGGTTATTTACTGCAGCAATTGCAGCGGCTTTCTTTGCTGATTCCGCCATTGGAATTTTACAAAATGTTCTTGAGAAGAAGTGGGGACGATGCCAGGAACAACAACGATATTTCAAATTAAATCTAGAAGCTGATATTATTGACCGGAAATGTCCAAGCACAAATGCAACCCTCACGTTGTTAGAGAAAAACATGTGTGAAAAATTAAATTCCGTATGTTTCCTGTTGTCTTGTGTGGACCAATAAACTGGGTGGGTAAGCTAGTGTAAAAAAACAAAAAAAAACTTTGCGAAATTCAGTTTCCTATTGCAATAATATACAGTATAACAATAATTGGTAATAATATTAGTGATAATAAATTTGTTTTATAGGATACTTCCATACATGCATTTTTTTAAAGATCTTTTTAAAGTTTTATTTTCTATAACTCCTCCTATCAGTCAATTAATGTTGGCAAAAGGGACTCTCCCTTTTCAAGTACGGCGCCAGCATGCAATGAGTTTCACATTGCGTTAACATAGAGTTTATAACTCAGCAAACAAGAAATCGGTCTATAAAAGACCACAATCCTCAACCACGTCTGACCATGAAATTAGGCATAACTGGAATTCTGAGTAGGCTACATTTAAGTAGGTCTAGGCCTATGTCCTTATTATTTAAATAAATAAAAAAATGAAATATAAATTACTGGTTCCTCCCAATAGTTTTCGATTTAAATTAATTTCATGTGGCACGTCACAGTACCTCTCTCCATGCCACCAACCCGATCTCATGTGAAATCTCATAAGTTTCCAATATTTGACATTTATGTGTAACTTTAATTATTTATTACCTGCTAATAGCTCCATTACGTGTCGTACATAGGCCTATATTTAACGGTGGGAATAAACCAAGAAACAGCAGAAGCGGAAAAAATGCCAAGAAATAAATAAATTCGAAACTGAACAAACTGAAGGAATCCTCCGACTCCACCGGGATGCGAACCCGCCCGATCTGCACATACCGTAAAAATGTTATCTTTAATACGGCCTAATTTTGATCAGGTTGCATATCCATTTTAAATTTCTACGGATACAGGCTTTATTATTCAATATGTCAGTACCCTTCTCGCTATAATATTGACTTTATACAATTCCTAAATTGTTTTATCTATATTTAAACATTATTTTTTTCAAGTTTAATGTCTGTAATATTACTAAATATAGGCCTATTTTATATTTTTATCTTTATATATATTTAACCCATTGTTTAAGCACCTGGATCCAAATTTATAATGTATGTTGTAGTGTCGACGATAAATACCAATTCCTTTTGATTTTTGTTTTTTATTGGCATACCTGTAGCACCCCTTCACTAGTCACTGACTGATAAAGCAATTTTATCCATGTTTTCTCTACAAAACACCGACAAAATAATGTTTGTAACAAGCAAGATAATACTTTCTTTTAATAGAAAAATAAGAATGTCATTCCTGTAGGTTTTTTTGACCAGAGGGAGATCAGCTGCTGACGGGTGATGACGCACTACTAACACTTTGCTGTAGTGTAGTGGTTGTGAATGGGGCAATCTAAAAATGGCGGAACAGGTACAAGCACGTGTTGAAAAGGCTATCAGTGATTGTGTCACGGAACTTGATACTCAGTATATTAGGAAAATGCAGGTAAAATTCTGCTGAATATGATTTGAACCTGTATATGCAGTTATCGTGGCGTTTGATAATGTTATGATTAATGTGCTTTATCAGAAGCTCTCAAATATCTAGGCCTCCTACTACTAGGCTAGGCTAGCCTAGTCTACTAGGCCCTAGGCCTACCCCTAGGCTTAGTACTGTTTAGTAGGTAGAGTAGTAGTAGCCTAGCTGGCTAGCTATAGGGCCTAGGCCCTAGGCCTACGCAATTTCACACATGATAGAATCACGATATGCCTGCCTGCCTAATTTCTATGTTTGAAAAATGGGCGCTAATGCACTTTCGCACCTAAATTTTAATTCTTATTTTTTTTACGTCTCAACGTTTTTCTCACAGTCACAACATATAAATAATATATAAATAAATAGGTAAATAATAGGCCTAATTAACAAACATTTTCACCTGATTTAACCACTCACAAAGTACCTTTTTCAAAAAATAAGCCCACAAATAAGTACACCGAATCTGTGTTCACTAGCACGATGAGCGGCTGCCATTTTGCAATCATTAAGAAATTGCCAGAACTTTTAATTCTTGAAGTTTTTACCTCAATGTTCTTCTCACAGTCACAACATATAAATTAACAAACATGTTCACATGATTTAACCACTCACAAAGTACCTTTTTCAACAAATAAGTACAGCGAATCTGTGTTTGCTAGCACGATGAGCAGCTGCCATTTTGGAATCAGTAAGAAATTGCCAGAATGTCTGAGTTTGCAGCGTGAAGTTTTTTTATTAAACGTTTATGAAAACTTAACTATTTGCCGTATTGTATGTCATTCTTTATATTGTATGGTGCTGTTGTTTGACTATGTGTGTTCACATGAAATTCACACGTACAATAATTACTTCAAAAATTAGTAATGATCCAAATGCCTAGGCCTAAATCCAGAAAAACAACTATTAAAGCCAATGACAAACGTCGGTTCAATTAACCCGATTACGACAAGAAGGTTCAAAAAGATGGTACTGCATGATG